TAGACTGCAAGTATTTTTTTTTCTCCCAAGAAAGTTGTAGTATACAATAGAAAATGCAACTGAAAACAATAAATGATACCTCATATGAATTTGTACATACGCAGGGTAAAATTTTGAGAATCTGCTTTAATATGGACCTTTTAATGGGCAACCTACTGTCAAAGCTGTGAGCTAGCTGTGCTTTTTTTAACCCCTGTAACAACTTTTAACTATGAACTCTTCTGTTAGGTCTATGTGACCTTGAAGTTTGCAATTATAAGAAATGGAAGCTAAGTTAGGACGAACTGTCGAAAACACCAGGTCTTTAATTGACCAGTGTGCAACAAATCTAACTATCAAATAACAAAGGGGAGCCAAATAGTATTTGATCCTTGCTGCAAGCAGCAGCTGAAGTACATGTATGCTCTTACGCCTAATTAATAAGCCTAGCTTGCTAGTGTTTTCAGAAAATGCTGCCCCTAACAACTTGTTTAATTTATGCTAGATACGAGGTTCTGGAATTCAATTGGTACTGGTTGTGGTGATGTATGTGGTGCAGCCTGCAAGAAATGGTGCCACTGCTGACGAGAAATTGAATCGGCAATACTGTTATAATTAGTACGGATGTGAACAGCACGAAAAATTATATATGTTTAAAAGCAGTCTAACACAAATAAACGAATTAATTTCATAACTCTACTGGATTTTGAGGACTGTATGTTCAAATTAAAACCGTAAACAATGCCTCATTATCAATATAAAACCGTATTCTCCCATTTTGCAAGTTGACTATCACATAAACTGACAGCCAAAACTACTGGGATAAGATTTAGTGTTGTCATGTCATGCAATATATCTGAATTACTGTAGTCACCCATTCATGTGGCGAAGAGAAATTGCACCATTGCCCTCAAAAGTATGCTCCACAACCTAGATGTGCAGAAACGGCACTATCTTCATGTATACAGATCTAAAATTTAATTTGACGACTAATCACTTTCTTGGAAATAAACTTGACCATTAAATTGTTCTAGGAAACTTAAGCATATAATTATATCTTGCTTCATTTCATTGTTTAACATAGTATGATGGTGAGGCTTAGATACCCCCGGGTTGAATCGCACAATCTCCCAACAAACTTGTAAGAGAAATTGAGCTTCCGTAACAATGACTATAACTGCCATAGAACTAATAATTAATGTTCCTACAGTATGGACGTCAATTTGATACATTTTCAAGAGGTATTCTGATCAGCATTTGCATTGATTCATTTTCTTAACTCACAAGACAGGAAGTGAGATAAGCCGTTTTGTCATCAGTTAAGGGGAACCCCCAGTTGAATACAAACCCCTTGCGATATTTGCGTTAATTTAAGAATGACTCTCTTTCTTTATCTGCAAATATGAAATAATCTATGTAAATAATGATCTAAATTTTTTTAAATCCAGTGCAAGAATATTTGAAATTCTTAGAAGCTTTGTGTGAGAGAGGGAGATGCCTTGAAGACATTTATAAAAGTAATATATATACCCTCAACTTTGAATCCTAAAAGGTCAAAATCCCCCGGGAACACATGTAGAAACCTAAATGCTGATTTAATATCCCCTTTTACAAAATATGCACCTTCACCCACCTAGGCCAACATTTTTATTACTATCAAAGGATGTTTAATAACTGTGAACTTACTATGGTTTATATAGTGATTTTCACTGCTGTCTGTAGGATATGAAAGGTGCGTTATCAATCGCCACCCAGAGTTATCCCTCTTTGGTACCACTCCCACTGGAGAATACTCCTAGATTACATATGGGTAATAACCCCCCCCTTTAATTCAACTTCTGTTATTATTATTTTATCATTATTATTCCTGCTTTGTATTGATAAACTGAAATTAAATTGTTATTTTTTATATGTAACATTGGACTTGAGTTATAAAGTCTAAACCCCTGAGAAAAAAACCATGCACTCAACAATTTGTTGCTACAGGTTTGTTTGGAGAACGAGCAGCGTCGGATCATCTTTAATATAGAAATTTTAATTGGTATGTTTCCTACGGCCAAATTATTTTTAGCCATTTTTCTTGTATTTTTGGATGTGGGACTGAGGTTTTTTGTTAAGAGTTTGCTGTAGCTTGATGTCTTGTATATGGATTTCTATATTGTAAATTTGCATGGTTGCATGGGCTGGGTTCAAAAGGAGTAGGTGCGTTCGAATGAGCTACTGGTGTTTTTATTACCTGGGCTCTTTGAAAATTGCATTGTATGATTGTGTGCATGCCAACACCATTTGTACAAGTGCGCATGTACTGACACATATTTGACTACAGGACCCCTTAAAATTGAAATCAACGCACATTTTGTTTATTTGAGAGCGTTGAGTCTGGAGAAATTCCAGCCGATAACTAGGATTTAAAGTCAACTAAGGCCCAAGAAATCTGTAGATTTCCGAAGACGATACTGCGTGACATATTTAAACCCCAAGTGAACTGTATGGACAAACTTAGGATATCTATAATAATTGCTTTATCTGGATGGGCAATAGATGTAGACAGATGCCAACATGAGCATGACATCCGTCCATTTTTCAATGGAAATGTTTGAGACATTTTTCTTTGTTACAATTTCTCCTGTGCACTTAGGGTTAGTTTTTAATGAGTGGAAGCAGAGACTAATTCTACAAGCTGGAAACCTGTAGACACCAGTTTGAAAGTTGGTGTTATCATCAATGATATAAAGTAATTTTACTGTTTGTAACGAAATAATTATATGCTTACCTGTATTGTTCTTATTAATTCATGTATCCTTTTTTTAAATTAAATAAATAGTCCTCAGTTACAAAGAAATGAAGCTGAAAAGAGTCAATTAATCATAGATTCGCATGAAATATTTATAAAATTATTATCGATTAGGCCTACATGATATTATTCGATTACTTTAATTTTTTTTCACTTGGGACAAAGATGGCGGCTAGCACATGGTGATGCAAATAGACAAACTGAAATGAATCTGACCTTATCCAAATTAAATCCTTTGTTATCGAATAGATAAGTAAACAATACGAGTTCATAAAATTAGTAATAGCAATTAAAACTTTTTAAAGCAAGAATCTATTTCTAAAATCTACACTTAGCCATTGTTTTCTCAAAATTGATCAACACCAGCCTTGCAACTAGCGTGTGACCGGCAAAGAGAGAGTTTGCAGCCCGAGCACCTTTCTTTATATAATTGAGAAACAAAAAACGCTTTTTACGGATTTAGCCTTAACGATTTTATTTAAATATTCTCTTTTAATTAAAACATATTTCCTCTGGTTGATTTTAGAACAAATTTTTGAGTATGGCCCTTCATATACTGGAATATGGCAGGTCCTATGATTTGTTTGACTTGTTTCTTCTTTCTGAAGGGTGTTCTTTTTCAAGTTTGGAAAATGAAACAAGTGAAAGGGTGAAAGATCGGGCAAATATTGTTGGTGTGACAAAATATTAACTACATGTATCTGTTTATCCCCATAACTCCTGTACTCTTCATGGCGTGTGGATTTGGACGCTGTCATGAAGACATTTAATGTAGTGGATTCCTGATTCTGGTTCCATCCTCTCATAAACCTTTAGATGTTTTTTTGCTAAAAGTTACTTTCTAGACTTCTCCAGAAATGGAACTGCCTCCCCGAATAAGAATTTGAACAACAAGACAACTAATATTTAAGAAAATGGCATATAAACTTGTTTTTGTTCTTTTGCAATTCTGTGAGCTTCTCAGACCTTGGCTGTTTTTGTCAAGTGGCATCTTATTTTAAATTTGTTTTGAGGGTTTAAAGCAATGGATTCAAGTTTCACAATTTGTTTGAATTTCAGACATGTAAGTGTGGATAGCTTCAATTTTCGATTTTTGAAATGATTGTATAGATATTTTTATACGCTGTCGTTTTCACGTTTTCACTAATTTTTCAAAACATAGGGTGACCATTGAGTACTAAGCTTTTTTTACTGTCAAATGATTCTTTAAAGCAGTGTAAACTACCCCAAAAATGATGCCTATCAATTTTGTTATGTGTCTTAATGTCAATCAAACGTGGTAATTTGTTGAATTTTGGCAAACAGTACATTGTTTGTTGTAAGTCTTTGTCACCAAGGACGGTGCCAATTTTTGATGCTCATGAAATCATTTTTGTTCACTGAAATCCACGTTTTCATGTGTCTATAAAACAGATATTTGATTGCTGTTAACATCACTTATTTCAGTGAATATTTCTTTGGGGGTTCTTACCAAGTTTTACAGAAGCTTTAATGAAGTTTCTAACTTCGCTCTTTACCGATTTTTTACCAGTCACTTGTAATGCAGTGTCTCGAATAGCCCTTGTTTTCCAGCTTCTCACAATAAAACTATGTGATGAAAAGTGGTCACATAAACTGTAATCAATTCATGAAAGATTCAATCATGAGAGAAAGTCAAACTGAATGTCATAATTATGATTTCTAAATTGTATGTCATAGAGTTCAGGACATTATTTATTGAACAGCCCTCGTACTCCAACCGTGCTACTGTAAACAACCCTTTAAATCATAACCAAAATTTGAGTGACTAGGTATTCAATATATACAATAAAATTCCAATAATTACGTGTTTTTATTCATCCTCGTGCAGCTGTATATCTCTCAGTTTATTTGATACACAAGAGCATGCTCTACTTACGAACTGATTCTTAAACGAGGTACGTCACTTACAAATAGGCTGATAAAATAATAATATCAACACTCTCATTCAAATACATCATTTTGCAACTTCTCGATAAAAGGACCTCAGCAAATACGATCTATCAAAACGTCGAATGAACACTAATGGATAACCGTTATATGTGTGGAAAAACGTTTTTAAACCCTAAATTGGCCGTCATGAGTTTCAAAAACCTACCGAAAAGTAATTAAGTGCAAGCTTGTTTGAGCTTCTGCAAATGTAATACAAATAAATTAGAATATATTCAATGTAATACATTAGAAACGAAATAAGAAAAACTTAAAATGCTTCAACTTTTTAGTGATTTTTCTTCAAAATCACCAGATTTTACTCATATAATGAAAAAGTAACATATTAAATTGAAGTCTTCTTTTCAACCGATTGCACTTATATTCATATTATATGTGAATAAGCACAAAATACTTTTTGTTGCAATCAGGGTAATTTTTGAAAGATCTTGTATAGTTTGTCAAAGCTAAAGGAGCTACATGAAGTATATAGACAGAAACAGACAGAAATAAATATACATTAAAACTGATAACTAACAAAATTTTTTTTTAAAGTATAGGTCACATGATCAAGTTTTCACACGAGAAACATAAATAAACGTACGGTAAGCATGAAGAAAACTATCCAATCTTTCCCATAATCTTTTTATCCGATGATTTACTCGAATGATATATATTAAAATTCTTTTTTTAAGGAATCCTAGAAGTTATTTATGACGTTTTGGATCCACAAGGTGGTTTGACATTGTCTTTCCAATCACAAGTTTGTAATTCTTCATTGAAGACCAAATCTGCAGAAGGATACAGTAAATCTTATTGGATTATATCTGCACTATACTAGTATATATCACTTTAAGTAAATGTCATTTATGATTACAAAACGTACATTATAAAACAGATATTTAGCACTGAAAAGTAAATATGAATAATAATAAGTAGTTTTTTCTTTTAAAAGGAATCTTAGATCAAGTGTTAAACACACAAGAAAATGGATTCTTATGTATATTTCTCAATATGCAGAAGCTACTTACTTGCAGGACATACGTTATGGCCGAGGAATTTTCCAGCGAAGCAGGTATAATAGCTGCTACAGTGCTGATCCATATCTGCGTATTTCCCGTCCTTCTTGTTTGAGCAATCCCTCATGACGCCACAGGGAGGTGGGACATTATGGGGACTGCAAAAATGTTTTATTTACCACAAATTTTATTTTTCATTTTTCCATTCCACTTCAGAGACTGAGAAAGAAAAGGAGAGACTTAATGAGTACTTACTCGTCACAACTTCCGGTTGCGTTGTTGAAGACGTTTCCTTTGTCGCAGTCAACAATGGTGACCTCAGCCCCTGTACATCTGGCAAAGGACCTACATCCGGCCTCATAGACACCGTCAGGAAGCGTGCTGCAGTCCACAGCCAAGGTAGCCACTAGAAAATCAATAAAAAAATGTATAATAAAAATTCGTTACTTTTTTAAATTTACTTAATTTAAAGTACATGTGTTCTTCATTGAGCATTGTTAATAATCTTTTCAGACTATACGTTTGTGATAACGAATGAAACCTAAAAAAATATTTTTAAAACCCTTTTACTAAAGTTTCCTTTTTTCAAAATGATATGAGGCTTCATGTCGCAAGTGTAATGTAATAAAGGAAACATCCATTATGATTCAAATAAACAAGCAGCTACAGACTGCTTCAAATATAGACGAAGAAATTATATACTACCAAATTAAAAACAAAATAAAGTCCAATTTACAGAAAACTGGTCTGAGGAAATACGATATAGAATACAGCGCATCTGTATATAATAATTAATTTTTACAAAAAAAAAATCATCCTCGCTAGCCAAGGGTTTTTGATACGCTATTCTCCTCATGAATATGAGGAGAGTAGCGTATCAGAAACCCTTCGCTGCGAAGTAAAAAAAATAGCGAACCTAAATTAACAACTGTTAATTTTAAGCATGTATGTAAAACCATCAAAATAAAATTCAGATGGGTTTTTATTATAACCCCGCTTGAAAAATAGAAATGTATATAGTAATCGGGATGTCCGTCCGTTCGTCTGTACGTCCGTCTATTACGACTGGGTACCCATCTCTTATCCACAACTCCTCTGAATGAAATCTGATGAGATTTTCAAAGAATCTTTATTACATCATCTTCGTTAGCCAAGGGTTTCTGATACGCTACTCTCCTCATAATCCCTTGGCATGCGGTGTTGATACATTGTAGAATTTGGGTTTTTTCTCGAGTTCTGATTGGGATTCGGTACACCCAGTCGACCAATCAGCAACTGTTTTTGTAAATGACAATATTTGCGTTCGGGATACACCTTTACTTTTTAATCTCGGAAAGAAAAACGCAAGTAAACAAACTTGCAATTCTATGAATAGCTATGGTGTCATCCAATATCTTCTAAATATGTAATTAAGAATCTATATTAAAGCTTCAAATTTGTACTATAAATAATAAATAAAGATAACTCAATTATTGCTTCTTCATTATTCTTGGAAAACAACTTTCATTTTATTTTTTTAAACTCACGTCTTTATTTCTGTCGATGACGCAATCAGTGCATCCCTGATACATTTGAGATCACGTTACGAAAACAATCCCGTCTT